CCACGGCTACACGACCAGAACGCGATATTGTCATTCACCATCTTGGTTCTTACCCACTCTTCATTTGTCTGAATCTGTCTCCTAATTTTCCAATACCACCTATTTGTTATTACGGGTTTAGATATTGAGATAGGAGGATTGAAAGTTGAGAGCATTTTTACCAGAACGAGATCGAGTCGTGGTATAATATTTGTAATGCAGATTGACATTTTACTTTAATGTATGTGTAAATGTACAAAATCATGCATTATTACATATGCGTTGATTGTTATGCATTTTTTTTTTAGTTAGAATGTAATATAGCATTTGGAAATAGATAAAAATAAAATGAATTGGGCATAACCCGCCTCCAAACTAGGAGAAACCCCTGGCAATCCCGCCAGAAGTCTGATGTATGGGAGAAGAGATGATTGACCCACTAGACAAAATAGGAGAAATAAAATATATGATCATATATATATATATATATATATATATATATATGATCATATATATATATATATATATATATTAAAGTAATATTCTAACGAAATAACATTAACTAAAATTCAGTAAACGACTTACATAATCGATATTGCCGCACGTAGGGACCGCGTGCTCGTCTGGTAGACTATCACCCAAGAGAATAGAATGGGAAACCTGGGCGTAGCACTCCTGGTACCGCTCACCGGCCTCCCCTCTATCATGTGTGGTGGGGGTGTAAATAGTTATGTCGGCGCGCAACACCACTGGGGAGCGATCCATGTGTCCAACGGATAGATTGGATAGAGATAGATGTGGTGTGACAGTTATGATTTATGTTCATTATGTGATTATATTATATGCTATTATACCGAGTAATTGTGTAGTATTTTTCACGGTGAGCTAGTTGTTTTCTCACCCCACTATTTTTATCTTTTCGGTTGAGTAGCTGGTCGCGATCACGAGGGGACAAGGGAGGTTTTTTTGTGTTATTATTATATTTGTATCTGCAGACGATTGTTTTTAAAATGATGTCATTAAGTCTTTAATTGATGTGACTATGTATGCCCGCGTGGCTTCGAGACCTGTTTATGAACGAATATTTCATTTGTCTCGAGTTGTTGAAAGGAAAATTGAAAGTTTGGGAAAATAATATCCCTAAAAACTTAAGTGGCTACTTATGTTAAGAAAAAGAAAACAAAGATTTTTTGAGTAATGCCCGAAAGAGAGTTTTAAACCGAAAAATATTTTTGAAAGTTCAAACTTTTTCTGAAAACATAGAGTTTTCTAACGGAAAATTAAGCGGGAGTTACACTGCACATCCTTACTTGAAAATATCAAATAAATTGCTTATGTATAATCTTTACCCCAATTTTTTTTTTTTTTTCCTGAGAATACAAAACACATATATCGATATCATATTCAATAATAATGATAAATATTCAAATCATGGACAACAAATCTTTAAATATCAATACAGTGCAGTTCACAAATTTTTCAGCACTGAACATATTGAAGTTAAAAATTCAAAACAAATAACTTACGTATCATTTGAAGTTCAAAATTTCACTGAGTCGTCTAAACTAAAAGATAAATCACATATCCAAATTCAAGATGAAACAAATTATTAGCAGTTCGTAACAAACTTTGAAATCTACCTCGCAAATACTTGACAACACAACCACTCTCATACAAAGATCATCAATTCACACTTTTGTAGATATTGAAATATAACTAAGGTCGATAAAACTAATATATCATAGTACATATTGAATAGATTTTGAATGTTACTTGAATAGAAAAGACACTATTATTTTCTAAGGCATACATCAATTCTCGATTGTTACCTTGATTGCCCATTCGTCGCATTCATCAATTGTTGATTCTTACCTTGATTACCTGTTCGTCTTGATTCCGCCGCCGCTTGCTTAGATGGTATAGGGTACTAGTGCTGATAACGTGTTGCTATATATATTATCTCATACATAGAGAAAAAAGAGAGAAATCGAGGAAGAGAACATGAAAGAAAGAAAAAACCGTCAATGATTAGTTATCTTTATTAATTCACTTGTACCATATATATATATAAGAAAATACAATATATATTAAAAATGACAACTCCTAGCCCATACCCACTAAACTTAGTCCCTTCGAGGACATCCGGTAAAATTGGAACGATAAAAAGAAGATTAGCATGACCCTGCGCAAGGATTACACGGACAATTGTTAGCTACTAAACTTATATATGGGTAATACTAATATTCATAAATAATAATTATTTGCTATAACATCTACCAGAGCAGGTCCTGGAAATTATAAGGCCCTGTGCCAAATATAAAAATAATGCCCTCAAGTACTTCTTTTACAAACTTTTTCTCTTCACCAACAAGTTCAAAAGCTATAGCCTCATTTTTATCATTTTGATTCTCACTGAGATTATCGGTACCTTCATTCTCATCATTATCATTATCAGTTATATTTTCTTCATCATTTATCAATCCAACTTCAGTATTATCTTCGATCTGTGTTACTTTTAATTGTAACATCACTCTTATTCTTTTTAAGAATAATTTTATCTATTGAACCTTTTAACGACTCAATTATAACTTCATTATCTTTCTTTTTTTTTTTTCCCTCTTTTGATGTCCAGATAGTTAAGTTTCTAATAATCAAATTATCAAACCAATAAGTCAATAACAAATTAACAGTTATCACAATTCATCCTAAACACATAAATAGAAATCACAAACAAAACCTATCCCAAAAATAGTATGATAAAAATATACTAATCTTATAATATGTGCCTAGTCCAATGTTGAATCAAACAAAAAAATAAATAAATTATCTGAACAAGTAAACAAATAAAATCACAGCAAGCAAAGCAATTAACATAAATAGCCAATTTAGAAAATAGATATCAAACTAAAAATCAAGAATATAAAAACCAAAAGATCCCCTTTTTGTTCACCTCGCTGCGGTCGCCGGAAGCCGCAGACGGTGGTGAAGTTCGACCCGGTTGTGGAGGACGGCGAGCCGGGCGAGGTGGACAGCGGACCGGGCAAGGTAGACTACAAACGAATAACCAATTTTTCGTCAATGAGAGGGCCAAAACAATTTTAATTGATCAATTTTTTTCAAAATAAAGAAAAGGTTCAATTTTGCTGATGAGTGTCGAGTGACGAATATGATTGAAGCAGATGAAATAGATTAAAAAATCTGGATTGAATTTGAATCTGAGTATGAAAAATAAAGATTGAAAATACTATTTATAATCTATAAAATTAATTACCTTGACCGACCGTTGGAATTTTGGAATGGGAGAGATAGGGGGGAAATGATAAGTCGACGCAAGAAGATCGAAATTTGAAGAAAGGAGGATAAATACCAGTCGCACTCTTCCTTCTTGTTTGCAGAGACCGAGTAGTCTAATTAATTTGGGGTTTAATTATAATTTTTTTTTTCGCTAACATTCATTCACTCATAAAAATGTGCTGAGATTATCTGATGTGTAGGACTGTGTATATTGTTTTGTGGACTAGAGTCTAGTCTAGGTGAACCTTTCTATTTGGGTTAGGAGTGTAGATTATTAGTGGACTTGTGCTAAATCTTATTATTTGGGCCATAAATATATATGCATTTGCATATTAAGTATAGAGGAAATTGCACCCTGTACAATCAGTTTGTGTTTTTATTACATAAATATAACAACTTTGTAAATATTAACATATTCACATAATCTAGTGATTTTATTTGCACAAATACCACATTATGTTATTAACTGACTTAATGGGATTCAATATCCACACCACATTTAATGGGATTAGTTACCTAACTTAATGGGATTTAATATCCCCAACACTCCAACTCTCTCTCTGCCTCTCTCTCTCTCCCTCTCTCGTCTTCTTCTTCTTCTACAGTTCGTCGTTTATTTTTTTTTTCTTCTTCTACAGTTCATCCTCTTTAATTTTCTTCTTCTTCTACAATTCACCCTTCACGAATCCGTCAGTCGTCGAACCACCTCCAGCAGCCGCAAATAGCAACGCCTTAGCTCGACATCGCACGCCTCCTTTTCTGCCATCGCCGAGAGTCATCGCCTGAAGCAACCCACGCGATCCCCTCGAACAGACCGAGAAGCAGCCATTGTCGTGACCCGAACAACGCCGAGAGAGAGAGAGAGAGAGAGAGAGAGAGAGAGAGAGAGAGAGAGAGAGAGAGAGACCGAGTATATGTTACGGGTATATACCGTATACCGTATATGTTACGAGTATATACCGTGTATTTTCAGTATATGTTTCCGTCCGAGTAATGTAGCATTCAAAAAATCCCACCACTGCGGCCCTTCTCAAGAAATCGCCCAAGAACAAGAAGATTGATCGCATATACATAAAATATACCTAAGATATACATAAAAACGATTTCAGAACCCACATATACATAAAATATACCTAAGATATACACTCGATCGCTGAACTGCGGATCTCATTCAGATCCCACATATACATAAAATATACCTAAAACATACATAAGTTTTGATCGTGTATATACTGTATCTTTATTAATCGTGATTTTAATTTATTTTGAGAGAGAGAGAGAAAATACATTTAAAGTTTAATTTATATTTCTTTCCATGCTGATAATAACAGATTCCTAAAAAATAGTTTATATTCACTTACCTTTTTTTTTTCTTTTCCAGCGAATTCATATATGTGCGTGATTTTAGGAAGGTCCCTTTGACAGTTATTATATCAGTTGCTCTATTTATGGGGAAAGACAATTATTATTTTTGGTAACCAAAAATCATGACAAATGTAATCTCATCAGTTACACAAATTAAGGGGATATGACCCTTTTTTTTTTTCATGCTAATACTAATTATATTGGTAGAGTTAGGTATTAATGTAATATATTTCATATATGTAGTATAAATGCAATTAAGGACAAAACGTGTGGGAGAAATAAAAATTTCATACTAAATTAATGGTTCCCCTCTATTAATTGCGGCCCTGGGCTACTCTACATCTACCAATTTTGCAAGGACTATTTTTTCAATTACCTCTACAAAAATCATTTGTCCAGCTTTTTGGTCTTCAGTCTCATTCCTTGCTCTTCCGCATCCTATCTTCTAAAAGCTAAGCTGTGAAACCACCATCAGCGATGGATACCAGCCGCAGCGTCGTCCTGAAAAGCAAGGATTTTGAGGTCTCCCTCTATATCACACACACACACACACACACACTCACTGGCGCATTATTGAGATATTATGGATGACGCATTTGACATTTTCTTCAATGTGAAAGTTGATACTAGGTTCATCTTCCATGGCTCGTCAGAAGATCCTAGCTGAAATGGGCTACGATTTCACCATCATGGTACCTTCCTTCTCTCTATTTCGGTACATTTTGTATTACATTTGTCCTCGTACATCAGTGGGCTACGGGTTTTCAGTTTATACTGTCTCTATAATATCTGCGAATTTCTTTTTTTTAGTCTAATGCGGTTTCTAATGATGATGACTCTGATCGTCTCTTACTCTTTCATTCTCTCCTTGCTCATGTTATCCATTTTCTAGCTCGGCATTTCGTCCTCTTAGAAAATACGTTTTGTCTATGTGAAGGAAATTAAATTCTGGTTTTAGCTAGTGTGTGATTTAAGAGAATGGATACACCTGTATTGCTAACTTATTTGATTTTTCTTTTGGATTATTTCAGTAAATTGATATGAATCACATTTTGACCATTCCTTGTCTACAAGGCTAGTTATGTGCCATTGAAGTCTTGAAGTAGATGTAATGTGTCCCATACTTAGAGTACCGGAGTAGATCCAACCTTAGTCTTGCATTGGCAGTCACTGTTATCAGTATATAAGCACCATTTCATGCATAGAGCTTTAGTTCCAAAGTGTGGCTTTCATGAAAGAAACTCTAGTGAAAAAATGTTAAAGTTAGTTAGCTGGACTTTTGTGTACAAAGGAAATGGAAGTAATCTGCTTTGTGTTGTTATACAATTAATCCATCCTGTTTGAAACTCTATGCAATTCACAAAGTTATTTACAATCCAATGGTTACTGAACTGCATTAGTTCTACAAAATGATATTTAAGTTTCACAAGTTTGCATGTTATTGAATGGAAAGATAAAATTTGATTTTGGAAATTTGGGTTTTGTGATAATTTTGGGAGCATAAGAAAAAAAATTGTTGAACAATTATTCTTTTTAGATCATATAGATGGTAGGGCGAGAGGATCATACATGAAACTCAATTAAATTTCTGAGCATTAGGTCAAAAGTTTTTCTTATTAATACCCAACCGAATTACTGAATGGATTTTTCATTTAGACTGCAGATATAGATGAGAAACGTATTAGGAAGGAAAAACCAGAAGACCTTGTGATGGCCCTAGCGGAGGCCAAGGTAACTGGAAATGCAAAATGATGCTTAAATTTCTGTACAGCATGTTCTGCTGCAATACCAAATATTATTTGGATTCAGTCATCAATTCAATACCGTCTAAAAGTTCATTTGGATTTTTTGATTATATTATTTGATGTCGCTCTCTATTTCATGAAATGAATCAAATGTACAGCATGTTCTACTACAATACCGTATCTACCAAATGATTTAAAAGTATATTTGTCAAACCTGTAAAGCTTAGTAGATGTACACTGATTGGTGAGAAGGTTTTTGATGACTGACTTCATTGCATTATCCCCCAATTCTGTTACCTCGAAACAGGAACTTGTAATTATTGGGCAACTTGAACTCGAAATATGTGTAGTATAGTTGATTGCTAATCTGAATTGAAGATGATAATAAGAGCTGTAGATAAATAATTATATGTCTGATCACTGAGATTTAAGACCCATAAGAAGGAGAAATTACTCTTTTGCTTCTATTAATTCATCTTGAAGAACTCACGATCACAGGATTATTTTTCTAAATTTGCAACTTCATATATGAAATAGGTGTAATAATTCAATCTGAAAAGAATAAATCATTGCGGATCTCTCCTGTTTTGTGTATTGTAATTTGTAAACCATAATGATATCTGCCTTATATTGATTTGATTTGCATCCCCTGTGTACCAGCACATAGACAACAGAACTTACATAATGTTTTAATTAGAAACACGCATAATGAAGCAATTTGGGTACTGGCATGGATATGTTCTCTTTGCTGGATATTGATTTTAATTATAAAACTTCTTACTCAAGGTTACCTTGTGAAAACTTCATGTATGCTCTTCGGAGTTTTAAATCTCAGGCTGATGCTATTATAACAAGGCTTGAGGCTACTGACGAATTGGAAAAACAGCCCCCTACACTGCTAATTACGGCAGATACAGTATGCTAATGAGTTCCCTCTCAAAATGACTTCCATTTGACTTTCAGAGTTAGTTATCTATTTAAATTAAATTGATTTTCTTTTTTTCTAAATCATTAGGCATTGTAGGAAGGTTTTCAAACCAAGTTTCTGCATTAATTATTGTTAGGCAATGTTCTTTGTTAATTCTTGTAATTCATTGGTAAAGATCATGATAAAGGGAAGCTAGATACTTTTTTTGGTTGTAATTACTCATTGGAGGATATGCATCTGCTGAGGAAAAGAAAAAGAAAGGCAACCATAAGATGCTGCATGAACTTGCCTCTTTCAATGTCTTCATGGTGTGAGGTGTGGCTGCATTAGATGGCAGAACTTTAGTGCAATATCTTTTATCTTGGAACTTTGTTTGGCCTTTGTTTGTGGTCTCCTCCCTTAATATTTTTTGTAGCCCCCTACATTTGTCTTCCGAAAGATTTTTCTCTTTTCAACATCTATAATAAATCGTATATCCTAGGTAAAACTTAGTATTTTTCTCTATCCTGATGTTTTCTCTTGGTCAGAAAACAAGATTCTGAACTTAACTGCATCTAATTGATATCGAGGTGGTGGTTTATCAAGGGACTATACGAGAAAAGCCATCTACCAAGGCTGAAGCACAACAGTTTATAAGAGGTTTGCTCAATTGAGTTACTTGTCATTTTCTGATGTGCTAAAAAACTAGCAAATCCTGCAAGCTGTGGTTGTTTCTTACAGATTATTCTGGTGGTTCGGCACAAGTTGTGGGATCGGTACTTGTAACTAATTTGGTGACAGGCTGTAGAAAAGGGGGATGGGAGAGTGCTGAGGTACTACATATTAATATGCTTTCTCAAATAATACTCTACTGGTTGTACTTGGAACTAGTTCTTATATATTACTTTGAAGTCAAAATATGGCACCTAAAGGCTTTTCAGCTATTTTTTTTGTGAAATTGAAGTATAGTTATTAGTCAACATTGGCTTTGTTAGGAGTGGATTGGAAAAAGCATAAATTAATAAGTGAGGGTACGGGGTGGGGGGTGGGGGGGATGGGTTGCATAGAGATACACATATATACATATATTAGATATGTTTGGGGCTTGGCAATTTTATACTATCTTTAAGTTGGTTTAGCTTTCAACTTCTTGTTCATCTCTTCTTTCTCTCCTTTAAGTTGTTTACTTATTTGTTCCCCGTGCAAGTGGCTAAAGATGTGAATGAACACACCATGTTGTTAGAAAAGAAGCAAGAAGCTCTCTAATGAAGTGTATTTCGTAAAAAGGTATCCCATAAAATTTGCTTGAACAACTTCCGGAAACTTGGGATCAGATTATATGGATCCTAAATAAATATTTCTGATGATATAGTTGCTTGGCAAACATGCATGTAAGCTTATGTCCAAGAATTATGGAACATCAGCATTCCAGTTTCTGTGACCTCACTTTTGCAAATAATTTTCCACTTCAAACCCTTAAATTAGTATCTGGTGACTTCTTAACTACTGTACTGCTTGAATCTGATTTAGATTACTTCTACTGCAGGTATATTTCCTAGACATACCAGATGAAGTCATCAACAACCTGGTAAGTTACTATAAAAGGACCCAAGTACTCATTTCTATAACAAGCCTAATTAATTGTGCACCATCTACTTAGATTGAGGAAGGAATAATCTTGAATGTTGCTGGGGGATTGATGCTTGAACATCCATTGACTCTGCCTTTGGTAGACACCGTGGTTAGTCTCTCTCTCTCTCTCTCTCTCTCTCTCTCTCTCTCTCGTGTTTAGATGTAGTAGATGTAGCCAATCAGTTATAGTTTGGTGTCCACATCAGTATTTATGTGTTATATTTCACTGCAGGAAACTGAATCACTCATCAAGGATGCACATTCTTGCTATCTTATTGATCATTCACATAAATTTGTAGTTAAATTTAATTTCCTTCTTCAAGTGTTTGAAAAAAAAAATAAATAAATTCTGGTCACCTCTCTGTAAATAGCTTGTTTATGTTAGTCTGCACGGCAATGTATTTTCAGGTAGGAACTGCTGACTGTGTAATGGGACTTTCCAAAACTCTCACTGAAAAGCTCATTCAGGAAGCTCTGTAGATTGCAGAAGCTATGATTTCACAGGTACAATGGTAATAATATCTTTTTGCATTTAACTTCTTGTCATGTAATGGAATGATCTTATGAGTATTCTGTAGTATTCATTTATTACTTGTAGTGTGAGATGTATCGTTAGATTGTTAGACATAAAAGCTTCCATGTTGGTATCTAGAAACCCATCTTTTAAGCATAATGCATTATTAAGTATTCTGGTTTGTGGTTTCATTTGGTATGACAGTATATTGGATCAAATACCACACAGGATGTCATGCACTACTCATAAGGCAATAGTTTGAGACGATAGCGAATTTGAGAATCCAAAACAATTCACGCGTGTTTATGAATAAAGTTGAGTCTTTAATTTTCTTTTCCATTTCTTCTAAATCTTAATGCGTGAATATTATGATGGATGATCTTTTGAGCTTATTCACCTCAAAATGGTTAAAAATATTTGGTGTTTCATTTGAAATTTGATCTGAATTATGAATGTCTTGAGTCCACACATACTAACATCTTGATTTATATCCAACAATTTGCTGTTGATGAAAGAGCTTCGAGTGATTTCTGCCAACTAATCACTTAACCAAATGGTAAATAAAAGGCGCATGAAATAAATGAAACTGGACATTGAAAAATAACGGGAACTATAATGAAACTACTGTACTGATCTCATTATCGATGTCATCACAAACGAAGTACAAAGAGTTTGACAGTAAGGAAACAATGAAATAGAAGTGGTATTTTACTTTTTTGACCCATTAGATAGACAAAGATGAAGCATCTTTGATATTTTTTATGGCTCATCTAGCAAAGGAAGATGATCGAGTAGTGAACACCGTGTGCTGCCCTCATGAATATGCATACTTTCTGTGAAGGAAGAAAAGTCGTAAGAGTCGGAAATCTCAAATTCATTTTGAGGAAACATTGGACCTTCTTTAGGCGCTTGAATTCCTTGCAACTCGACCGCTATTTCCTTCATCGTGGGCCTTCTTCTACCATTTAAATCAAGACATCTTCTCGCAAGTTGAGCAACTAGCATAATTTCATCCTTGTCCCCCTCTTCGAGAACCCTCGAATCAAGAATCTCAAATAAACCGTTTTCTTCCATCGTATGCAAGAAATGTGTGGCTAAGCTTTTCCCCTCTTCTGCTCTAACTCTAACGGATGAGATTGCTTTCTCCCCCGTCAAAAGTTCGACCATCACCACACCAAAGCTATACACATCACTTTTTGCAGTGAATTGGCTCGACTGAAAATACTCGGGATCCAAATACCCAAACGTGCCCAAAACCCGTGTCGTCAAGTGAGTTTGATCAATAGCAACTGACCTTGATGTCCCAAAGTCAGACACTTTGGCACGATACTTATCGTCCAATAGTACGTTGGTCGACTTGATATCCCGATGATAAATAGGCGGTGATGTGTCATAGTGCAAGTAAGAAAGTGCTCCTGCTATTTCTCTGGCGACCCTTAAACGAATTTCCCAAGAAAATGGAAATTCCTCAAAAGGGTCATGGATATGTTGAAAAAGTGTGCCATTCGGGATAAACTCATAGACAAGAAGAGGAACTTCTGTCTCCAGACAACACCCTAGTAGCTTGACTATGTTTCGGTGGTTTATTTGTGATAGGATGACAACTTCATTAATAAACACTTCAAGATCATCTTCGTCTACCCTCTTCGACTTCTTAACTGCTACAATTCTTCCATCCGTCAACATTCCTTTGTAAACCGTACCTTGGCCACCACCGCCAAGTATACGGTTTTCATTGTAACGGTCGGTAGCTTGAGCCAACTCTTTGGCACTAAACAACTTGGTTCTATCCACTCCACTTTTATCACTCAAACACAACTGTTGCTCCAATAACAAGCCGCCATTACGCTTATAGAACATGTATCTACGGCTGGCCTTGATAACTTTTCGAATAGCTTTTCCCGACTTCCAAAGGGCAACAAGAAGAATCAATGCACCTAGCACGCTCCCTATACTGATGAACGCAATTTTGAGTCGGGTTTTAATATTGTTCTTTTCGTAAATGCATCTGTAACTTCCTATCTCGTTGATACAATTTCCATTTCCATATTGGCAGGGGTTATTAGTTGCATTGCTACATTCATCTATATCTACACATCCTCCATAAAAATATGGATTTCCTTCGAACCCATATCTGCAGGAGCAAAATAGGCCTGAAGGTAAATAGGTGTCAGAATCATAGGTGTAGTAGCTTATTCTCCCTCTCCCACGGCAGCTTGTACCTGTATACCGAAAACCTTCGGTGTGGAAGAATTCCCACTCAAGCACGAGAGGTGCTGACTCGAATTCTTGGTCAAATGGATTTGACAGACTTGCCTGGAGGCTATTGTAATGTTTATAACCCTCTTGGAACCATTTCATTTCGACCGGAAAAACGTATCCACAGAAGCTATTATTATTATTATTATTATTATTATTATTATTATTAAAGGAGGTAGAAGACACCATGTTTTGGTAAGTAAACTGAAGCCTCTGGAGTCCATAAGGAATTGTTGTCTGACAACAATTTACGCCATTGCAATGTGCATTGGTCGAATTTGGATCACAAATGGCCATACAACCACCAATTGTGGTAGTCTCATTAGCACGTAGCCAGACCGAAGTTTGGCAGCCCAAAACTGCCAACGAATTGTGCTCCGATGAGATTGTGAACGGGCTTCCCACGAGTGATGTTGTGAGATCCTGTATTGTCTGCTCACGTGAGCAATTCAAAGGCGACACGGGATGGTTCACAATAACAGTACCTACATAAGTACCACAAGAAAAAATAATTGGCTAAATTGCATTTTTTAGTCGCAAAGTTTTAACATTTCGCCTTTTGATTCTGTAATTTAATATTTTGCAACAAATTTCTAAAATTATAGATTTTTTATTAGCAATTCAAGTCCTATAATTTACAATTTTGATGCAATTTCAATCCTGTAATTTAAAATTTTGTTGCAGTTTCAATCATTTGAGGAAATTGCAGCAAAATATTAAATCACATGACCAAAAGACGAAAAGTTAGAACCTTTGGACTAAAATTGCTACGACGTTAAACCAACAGAAGTAAAAATACATTTTTGCGAAAATAATATGTGGGATTGAACTATAATTATCATTTTTTTTTATTAGGTGATGAATGAATAGTAAGCCTGATATTAGTAAGTAGTAAGCTTCATCATACCTAGCACAGAAATATTTAGCACTTCCATGTTGATGCTCCTTAAAAAGGGTCTGTATGGATTTGTATTGTTCCGACAGACAACGGCAAATGAGGAATTTGCGTAGCAATCAACACCAATCCCGAAAGGATAGGGAATTGTAATATTTCCACACGTTTCGGGACAACCGCGCATCGACATGGACACTGCTAGCACCTTGGTTTTGGTAAGGCATAGGACTGAAACTACTACAAGTAACCTCATCATCTTTGGATAAGATACAACTCTATAATGCATGTGTGTGAGTGGTGGATATTTCACATATATACTACCATATGCTTGACTTTTAATAGTTCTTGTAGTTTGCCTTCTCAAATGGGCTATCTTACTTTTCAAAGCGGTTTATATTAAGATGGAGACACATAGCTAAAAAGAGAGACTTGTTGTTCATTCAGGTCTGCTTCAAACTTCCATTGAGCATCATCTTGGAAAGTGCTTGATGATATTTCTATTCAGAGGGCGTAAACTGTGTGTGTGCAATAAACGTAATTAGATGGAAAAGGAATTTGTGGCTTGCATGCACAAACTCATGTTTGAGCACTGAATATTGGTCCCGTCACTGCCAAGTCCTATTCACAATTCCGTATTAATTAAATGGTTTTGGAAGCTCAGATCATCAAGCATATATTAAATTAAAGATTAACATTAGAGCCAACATTTGGTGCTTTTGCACCATTATAAAAATTCTGTGGTAAGTACTACATTGTTATATATTAACTAACCAGTACAACACACCATTATAAAAATTCTGTGGTAAGTACTACATTCTTATATATTAACTAACCAGTACAACACCGTGTATTACACGAGTGCTTGTTAAAAAAACTATTCTTAAATTTTAAATTAATGAGAAAAATTATTTTAAAATTTAATAATTTTTGCAAAAAATATATATTATTATATATGTTAGAATCACACTTGTTACTTGTGCGACTTACCAGTGTTATATTATAATAATTTTTTTTAACATATACCATATAATTACTTTAAACATAAATATATTAATTGTTAATTATTTTTACTTTTTTAGTTAATATTAATAAATAATTTTATTATTATTATAAAGGTAAATATAATTAATTTATTTTATACATATAATATGGATGTCAAATCGAAGTTAATCAAGAGATGATTAATTTGATATATTATATATGTAAACCGATAAAAAATACAAAAGTTATCAACTTTTAAAATTTATTTACAATTAAATGGTTATAATAGAAATTGGTAGTAAAATGCAATTAATACATCTAATATGACCATAAATAATCAACATACTAGTACGACACCCGTGTATTACACGGGTGCATGAAAAAATAATTTTTTAAAAAAAAAGTAAAAGAGTTTAGTATTGTATTACATACAAAATAAATATGGAAGAAATCCTGTTAGAATATGTTGTTAGAATCCCGTTTCGAATTCAATTCAAGATTTTGAAGTGTGAAGAAATTTGTTACCATATATTCGCCAAATAATTGAAAACATTGTTAACTCAATTATCAAATAAAAGAATATAAAAAAAATAATGTAGATATGGTGTTAGTTAACTCAATTATCAAATAAAAGAATATAAAAAATAAATTATCAAATAGAACATTGTTAACTCAATTATCAAATAAAAGAAATATTGTTAACTCAGTTATCAAATTCAAGTGATCTTTAAAATGAAAAAAATGAAATAAGGAAAGAAAGATTTATGTGATCTCCGGACCTAATTATTTTTGGATTGAAAATAAATTAAAATTATCCAAACCAAATAATGAAGCATGCAATTTTGCCACATAGGATCCTGGAGCATGCGAGCTTTCCACTTAAGTTCAGCACATTCGAGAATTATGTATAAGAGGGATAACAGTATTAATAAAACTAGTAAAGTGATCATTCGATGGACGTGATGCATGATTTGTATTTTTTTTTCTTTTAAATTAGGTTTTAATTATATTTATATACTTTAGTCATTATTTATTATTACTAGTAAAGTGCACGTGTGATGCATGTGATACATATGTGATTTTAAATTATATTTTCTCTTTTATATTTTTATGGTCTATTGAATTTTTTGAATTATTATTTTAATTTATTCAAACAAAAGAAGTAAATTACATATTGAACTAATATATTGAAAGGTGAAATACAATTTTTCAAATAACAATATTTAAAAGTCATGGTAAAAAAAATTGCAAGAAAAAATTTGGTTGACAAATGTTCATTATATAAGTTAGTCTTGTTTATTCGAAATCTTTTTGTTTGGGAAAAATTAAGAAATATGCACAGTAAAATCAAATTAAAATCTTTTATAGAATAATTATATGTGATAGTTTACAATTTTGTCTTCTTATCTTGTTGAAGAAGACCATTTTTTGTCATTATATTTATTGATTAAATAAAATAGTTATAATACATTTGATATATGTTAGCAAAGTTTTAAAATATTATTCGTATTATCTTCAATTTTCTAGTGACATAGTTTTTATATGCATTTTATCACTTGATCTAATTAATTATAGTTGTTTTCATGAGTTAGAGATATATATTAAAATTCATGTTTTGGTCGATTTATTTATTTATTTGTTTTCATTCAATTTATATTTTATTTTTCATGAACCGTTACAAATATATGGTAGACACTAGACAATCTAATTTGGATTTCAATAATCTTAAATAATACTTTAAAAACATTAAAAGTAATTTTTTGATAAATTATATTTTATTTCTCGCTTAAGATATAAAATGATTTAAATTAAAAGTTTTATATTAGGTCGCATTTAATGCTCAAAAAATTGCGATTGAATAATTTGTGTCAAAATATCAACCAATTAATATGCAGTGAACACTGTGAACTACATAAGATGTGTAATATTAAGTTCATATAACTGATATAACTGGCAAATAAGGATTTGCGTAGCATCCAGCACCAACCCCAAAAGGATAGGGAATTGTAATATAATCAACTATAATGCATGTGTGTGAGTGGTGGATATTTCATATACTATCATATCATATGCTTGACTTTTAATAGTTCTTGTAGTTTGCCTTCTCAAATGGGCTATCTTACTTTTCAACACGGGTTATATTAAGATGAAGACACATAGCTAAAAAGGGAGAGACTTGTTCATTTAGGTCTGCTTCAAACTTCCATTGAGCATCATCTTGGAAAGTGCTTGGAGGCGATTGGTAAGCAGCGATCAAAATTGGATCATGAGTCAAAGTTAGTTATGTTTAATAAAACAAATTGAGTGGAATGAGATATACTAGTATTTAACCCGTGCATTTGCACGGAAAGGCTATATGATAAAGTGATAAAAAAAAATTATAAAAATCATAACATGATCATTGAGAAAAAAGTTAAGCAACAAAATCTAAATTTAAATATTATTAAACACTTCTTTATATACAACGTTCGCGGTTTTTCCTTCGTCACAATCTCCATCACCACAAATCATTATTTTAAGACCCCTCCGATTCGTGACTCTAGATAGTGCCACATACAACTGTCCATGACTAAATACAGGGTTCTTCAATAGTTAGCCGACGTGAGACAGTGACTGGCCTTGACTCTTGTTGATAGTCATAGCATATGAAACCATGAGCGGAAATTGTCTGCGTTGAAATTTGAACGGTACCCTCAAATCGGATGGTATGATTGTGAGCCTAGGAATAAGAACCTTGTCACCAGATCTGGCGCCGATTAAAATCCTGCATTCGAGGACATGGCTGCTGAGCTTAGTGATAACCAATCGTGTACCTGTTGACATCAAAGTTCGGAAAACAAACACATATCACTAAAATTGGTACAAAGATAAAAAAACAAATATAGATGATAGATAGAATTTTGATGAACAGTACCGTTGCACAACCCCATAGAGTGATCAATGTTTCTGAGAAGCATCACTGGAGTGCCGACCTTAAGGTGCAATTTATGATTCGGAAGTCCAGAGCATTTGATCCCGTTGAGAAATTCAGGAGTGTGAAGATCCTGAAGAGAATCATATCCAGCATCTGACTTGCACGCAGTGTCTGAACTCAAATAAGTCCTTCCCTCGGATGAGTTCAGCGAGCTCATGTACTCGTTAACGGACTCAACCACATCAAGTGTGGGGGCGAGTATGCTCTATCCTTCAGATAGCTAAGATCATCACATGCACTTCTGAACATCGGGTAGGTACTCTCAACAATAGTACCAATAGGATCCCCTTGTGAGCGTAGAAGAATATCGTCGGGGATGTCGATATCGGCACAACCGTCGTTCGATTCACCGACTGTACCGTCGCCGATGTTTGCAAGCCATTCAGAGAAGCACCTCAACTCATCGTACTCATCGCCCCCACCAAGGCTTCGAAGCCTCATATTCCGAGTCAGTCTCAGAATGATACAATCGCGCCACAACTTGGATGAATTGATGGTCGCATTAACTATGTCGCTTCGACTGCCTTTGGGGATAACGGGCAGTATCTGTCTGAAATCCCCACCCAACACAACACACTTGCCGCCAAATGGGAGATTTTTCCTTGATGGATCAACTGCTTCCATTAAGGCTCGCAAGGTGTTGTCAACCGCTTGGAAGCAATATTTGTTCATCATCGGGGCTTCATCCCAAATGATCAATCGACATCGTATGATCAGTTCGGCCAGAGGACTCTGCTGGCTAATATCGCATGTAGAGCCTTCCACTGGGTTTAGTGGGATTCTAAATCGCGAATGCGCAGTGCGTCCGCTGGGAAGCAAAAGTGATGCAATACCGCTCGATGCAACGTTCAACACAATTTCACCTTTGGATCTCAAAGCAGAAGACAACGCCCTCCAGACATACGTTTTTCCTGTTCTGCCATAACCATAAACGAAAAACGTGCGGCCGTAGGTACAGTAAACAGAGTCCATTATCGAGTCATAAACATTGCGCTGCTCATCAGTCATATTGGAAACCAACTCTTGATTCTCAATAGCGAGTGCACGACGATCGTAATTCAACTCGTCCATCACCAGTCTGTTCGTGGATGCCTCATTACGATCGAGATTAGGAAAAGGCATTGTACCGTATTCGCAAAGACTCGTACCACGTCTGCGCAAAATTTTTTCAACCTCCGCCAATGCCAGATTCTTTACTTCATCATCGCTCAAAACCAATTCTGTAACAACAATATGAAAGTTTATAAATATAAAGACATAAGAGAAAAAGAAAAAAAAAAGTATGTGACTGTAATTAATACGTTTACCTGGGTGCTGTAAAACCCTCCGACGATTATATAATATATCATCCGATAGGTAAGGCCAGCATGATTCCCACATGAATTTCGGTCGACCGAGAGTATCAGAAGACAACAAAGTAGCAAAAATATTTCTCAACGAATTGGCACTCGACCACTGGCTTGCCTCGATGATCCCTTCAATGTACTCTTTGTCGTCCTCCACCAGACCGAGGGTATAACACGCGTCACGATAAGAATCGTGTTG